AATATGATAAAATATATATTTCAGTATAAAAAAATATGATAATAGCAATTTTATATTCATAGGATTAACTAATCATTAATAAAAATAAAAGGGTGAATTACACTAACAGTTCCTGTAATTTGAAACTCATGTCACTTTGGTCTCTGACTTTTTAATTGTGACATATTTGACCATAGATTTTGAATCTTATTCCAAATAAAGACAATTGAAGATACTATTACTCAATTTCAAGGACAAAGTTATCAATTTGATAAAATATAAATTAATTTGACAAAAATAAATGTCAAAAAAATATTTTTGAATTTTTAAAAATTATTTCGACCCACCAAAAATAAAATTATGTAAAATTGATTTTTAAAAATTCATGTAATGCATGTATGTAAAATTGATTTTTAAAAATTCATGTAATGCATGGTTGTTAGGCTTTGGTGGGTCGAAATAGTTTTTAAAAATTATTAAAAATAGTTTATATTTTAAAAATTATTAAAATTCAAAAACATTTTTTTGATATTTATTTTTATCAAATTAATTTATATTTTATCAAATTGATGACTTTGTCCTTAAAATTGAGCAATGATATCTTTAATTGTCCTTATTTGGAATAAGATTTAAAATTTAAGGACAAATGTGTCACAATTAAAAAGTTAGGGATCAAAGTGACATAAGTTTCAAATTATGGGGGGACCGTTAATGTAATTTATCCAAAATAGAATTCAGTCATATGTTAAAAGTTTATGAGAGCATGATATATTATACCAAAGTTATGGTGTCAATATATATATATATATATTTTTAAATTTTAAGAAAGGTTATTGAAATGTAAATACTGAACTGAGAATACAAATAACGGAATTAGATCAAAAAAAGTCTGGCCAATGTAGAGGTAATTTTTTTTTAAAAAAAATTATCAGCATATATACTATGAAGGATATGTAACATGAATCATATTACATATTACTTCATTTTCATCTTATCTTTCTCAAATAATCTTATTAAATTCGTCTTACATCATTTACTTATATCACTTTAAAACAATGAAATAAGAACTCCTAAAGCTCAAAGTGAAATTCGAGTAATATGATAAAATAATCCATGAAATAAATCAAATCAACATAGTATTATTCGGAATTGTAGATGTTGCTGCGCAGCCCGCGCAAAAGTAACTGTTGTGTAGCGAAATGAGCCAATTTTCGGGACTGATTTTGATAATCTGAACCGTTCACATTTTAGAATACATCAAGTAGAACATGCCAGCAAAAAATCAAGTTAATTGGATATCGTTTAACCATTCATCAACTCACATTTGTATCTACAAAAATAAATAATAATTATGATTTTAAGTATTAAAATGAATATAAATGTGAATAGATGAATAGGTAAATAATATCCAATTAACTTGATTTTTTGCAGGAATATTCTACTTAATATATTTTAAAATGTGAACAGTTCGAATTATCAAAATAGACCCCGAAATGGACCTATTTCGCTACACAACAGTTATTGCTGCACTTACCGTGCAGCAGTATCCCCAATTCCGTATTTTTTTTGGATAAGCAAGTCATATTATAACCAAAAAAGAAAGATATATAATGAAGTTCAATACACATCTTTTGTAGGGAGAATAAACATAAACAAAAACGAACTACTCTCTCAAAAGAAACAAACTAAGCCTATAGACGACAAACAAAACATACACAACAAAGGGTTCAAAATTTCCCTCTAGCACTCTTCAAGTAATGAAGCAACTAAGAGTTACAATCCACAATAACAATTACTTTAGTGAGGATCAAAACCCTAGCAAGAGCCCTTGATATTTGATAATATTTCCAATGTCTCTCCCTCTTTATTTATCACTGTCGTTGAACCTTGCCCATCATCTCTCCATTTTTTCTTCACCACTTCCCACTTAGTTGGAACTTGTATGTTAGTCTCCTTGACTCTCCACTCTTGTTTGGAAGATGGAGGGTTCAAAGTCTTTAGCTTCTGAGGGCACAAATTAGTGGTATAACCAAAAGTCTTACAAATATCACACCTTTGAGGCTTCCATGGAACCTCAACTTGAATATCATATGGGCCACCATAACCAAGATTTATTTTAAAAGACTTAAGAATCTCTTTATTTGCTGGTACTTCAATACATATTCTCGCAAACGTAAGTCTGCTTCTCTTGAACGTAGGCTCATCCAAATAAAGAAGAGTTCTCATGATGCTAGCAATATAACCTAAGCCTTCTTTAGTCCAAAGCTCCAAAGGAACATTATACAACTTCACTCACAACGGCACACTTGAAAATTCACACTTTGTTAGTTTTAGTTCAGGTTGCCACTTTTTAACAACAATCAATCTAGCCCCAACGTAATAGGAGCCAGCTTCCAAAATTTTGTCTATGACCTCTTTACTTTTTACTTTAAAAATAAAAAACCCATTATTAATGGAGACAACATCTTCAAGCAAATTTCTCCAAAATTTTTCCGTCCAAGTTTCTCCCCAATTCCGTATTACTCACGTTGAAAACCAGCACCCAACTTAAAAGGAAATAGATGTACATATGCATATGGTCCTAATCAATATTTGCCCTCACTTATTTGAGACAAATCAAACAAACTACAATAGTTCCTCATGCCGTAATTATTGAATAATTTGTCGACACCATTCCATCAAGCTTATCAAACCAACTCGTACCTACTAACATAGTACGACTCACAATCCAAATCAAACAAACACAGAAGAATAAAATATCAAATCCATGATCCCACACCATGATGTTAAGTATAGAGACCCTAGTTACCTCCCAAAACTTGTCTTATTTAACTTTTTCTTAAATCTTCTTTCAAAATTCCAACTTGACTTCTCATTTCCAATTTCAATTCAATTAATCACACTTGGGCAATTTCAGCTAAAAACATCTTTAGGGCTAAAAGCATCATTCGGGCTATTTTTTTATCAAAATACCCCATTTTCATACAAAGATTTCATAAATTTGTAATAATCTTTGAAATCAAACTTCAAACATAACGAATGTACTGTTAAACAACTAAGGCCTCGTTTGACAAGTGATTTTTTTAGTTAAAAAGTCAAAAAGTCACTAAAAAAATCAAAAAGCCAACAATCTATATCAAAAAGTCAAAGATTCTTTTTCTCTCTACTTTTTGCACATCTTTTAGTAAAAACTAAAAAATATTCCAAACATACTAATTTTTTTTACATCATATTTTAGCCAAAAAGTCAAAAAATTACTAAAAAAATTTGTTCCCAAACGAGGCCTAAGGTTACAAATATGCAAAGGTAATGAAGCAGGTAAACTGAATTTACTCTAAGATAGCTACTTCATATGATGGCTTACAAAGAGAGAATCAAAGAACTATTGAACACCATTGAAGGAGGATGATGGCCAAAAATTAATTAGAGAGCTAAATTTCAAAATGGGTCCTGCTTGTCCATCCTTCATCATAGGCTTTATTTGAGATTCACATGTGTGGACCCATGTTGCTCATATTGTACAAACGGAGCAAAAATTCAGTAATAGATAGTGTGAACAAAATTCAAAACATACAAAAAAAAGAAAAAAAAGTAATGTGCACTGATTGGCAAGGCAAAAATATTTTTGATTGTGGCAAAAGATTTTATAAAAAGTGATATCAATTTGAAGTTAGAGTCGGGCTTCGTTTGACAAATCTAACTTTTTGGCTGAGAAAGCCAAAAAAAGGCTATTAAAAAAGAAAAAGAAAAAGAAAAAGTTAAAAGTTATTAAAAAAAAAAAAAGTAAGTCGTGCACTAATTATTCATGTTTTTTTCATTCAACTAAAAGAAGTAATTTCCAAAAGTAGTAACTTTTTTTTTGGCTAAAAAATTAAAAAAATACTAAAAAAGCTAAACCCCAAAGGAGACCTCACTCTTGGAATTTTCTCAACCAAGGTACAACATAAAGAATATTTTTTGAGATTTGTTTCAAGGAAAAAATCATGAAGACTTCATAAAATTGAGTTTGATTCGTATGGCATTGTGTTTCTATGAAGATATGTCAAATTTATTACAAGAAATTGTAGTTCATTTAGTTTTTGAAGATTTTTTGAAATTTAAGATAATTAAACTTAAATACAAGGTGGACGCACACAATCGCAATCATGCCAAGTGGTTCTAAGCAACAGAAATTAGATGATGAATTTTTTCAAATAGCGGAGAATGACGTAGTCGAGATTTTAGGAAATTCATAATCATAATTTTATTATTTTGAAATCTATAGTTGATTGGAAAAATGTAAGTTTAGTATAGAATATGCTACAATTATTACATTCCCTATTTCGTATTGATTTAGTTTTCCTATTTTATATATTTTTGTTTTATAAACTAGGGTTAATTTATTATAAATAATGATATGAATAATTTTTTTTTTTACTTTTTTTTCAATCTATGAGATACCAAAAATTCATTGGAGAGCCAAGCTTCAGAATGTGCCTTGCTAATCCATCCTTAATCCAAGACTTTTGAGGTTCACAATTGTAGGTACAAAATTCAAAATCTACTAAGAGAGTAGTTAATACATTTATTAGCAAAGGCCATTTTATTTTATTTTATTTTTTCTTCCTACAAGTGATATCGTGAGATAATTTGATTTCAAGCTGGAGCCATCCTTGGAATTTCTAAATTCTTGATATTCTTACACTCTTTGAATCATAAATTTCAAAAAGAAAAGGAAAAAAAAAAAAAAAAAAATTTATTTCATTCGCATTTGTCTTGCATTTTTTTTTTAAAAATTTTATAAATCTCCACCTAAATTCATGATTCAAACAGGCTTAATGAATCTGCAAGTTTTAGAGACCGAAAAAAAATAAAAAAAATAAAATTGTTTCAATATTCATGGGTGAATCAACACACTCAAAATTGTGTTCCAACTCATCCTTTTTACACTCATGCTGCATCAGCTTTCAACCCCAAACTAAGAGAGAGAAAACGCAACACGAATAAAGGAATCAGCAAAATAAATTAACCAAACGAAAAAATTTCAAAAATCACACTTTATTGTCAAAACAAATAAAGGTTTGACTGGTTTTTACACTCTGCTGTACACACTTTCATCCTCTTTCATACAATAAAAACCAAGAAAGTTCACATTCTCAAGCCCCCTAATTGCTCTGTTGAAATCAATGATTAAAATAATGGAAACAAAGAAAGTCAGTCAAAAATGAAAGCTCACAACAAACCTGTGACCATAAAGAATAACAAGCAAACTAACTTGAGAGTAAAAAAAAAAAAAATTGCTACATATCCAAATCACCAGATGGGGAGAAGAAATGGGAAAAATTCAGTTTTTTGTCCATCAATCACGAAAAACAGGCTACTTGGGAGCAGAAGCAGCTAAATATGCACTGATGCTGTCCCTCCAACACTTGATGAATCGAGTCCCTAACTTCAGAAGGAAAAAAAAATGCAATTAGAGACAGATTAGAGTTGTTAATTAGTTGCAAAAGAAACCATAGTAGTGGAAAATATCCGTACAAATTTCCAGCCATGCTCTCTTTATCTGCAATCTAAAACTTCAGGAAGCTGAAACAAAAAACTTGAGGCGCTGAGGAGACTTAGAACAATTGAAGGGCCATTTTCAGCTTATTCTGTTTCCATTTTGGTAGTTTATAGAAAGCTTCTTTTGCCATCCCAAATTTCTCTCTGAACTCTTCAGCAGACAAATAAGTCTGCAAGTATTAATTCAAAAAAATCTCAGTAACAGTGTTGTATATGTAAACTAATTATGATATTCTAATTTCAGAATAAATACCTCTCGCTTGGTCACATCAATTTCTGTAACGGGATCTGATGAAGATGTTTTGAGTCGTTCATATGGGTGTATTGGGAGTCCTTCCTCATCTTCAGCTTCACCCTCTTTTACATCTTCCTCTATGGTTAGAGCCTCTATTCTGCTACTCATAGAGTGTTCTTTATTGTTTGTCTCCGGTTTTTGTTTCGGTGCCTCTGGGCTCACTTCATCCACAACAAGATGGTACATCAATTTTCAGTTGAGAGCTAAGTAAGCACAAACACTTAACTTGGAATCCAATATGATAAACAAAAACAATGTAAATTTATACCTATTCCTCTCTTTTAGACTTGAAAAATTATTGACTTTATTTAAATATTCATATATATGACATATAAAAATTATTTATCCTTACATATAACATATAAAATTATATGTTTTGCATGTATTCCCCACATGTCATGTCGTACCCTATAATTTTTGAAAATTTCTATGTCAGTGTGTTCGTGTTGTCACATGTCCGTGTCTATGTTTCTTAGGCTGGGAGGATAGCAAAACTGTCCTCTAAAAACTTAAAAATAATAATAATAATTACCTTTAATGGAACGGGGTATAATAGTTTCTCGTGGTCGTTGTTCAAAACTTGCAGTTAGTGCTGCAATAGCTGCAGATCTTGAAGCCAATTTTGATGAATCTGGGGTCACATATTTTGGATAAAGCTTTCCTACAATTGGGGGAGGAGTTGAAAGGTTTCTTGCATTTGAGCTCTCGAAAGTAGCAGCTAGTGCATTGAAGGCTGGAGATCTGCCCCTGACACGAACACGATCAGGACTGAAAGACATGCTTCGGGAACGCTGAGATTTCTCTGGCACGGCAGACCTTCCACTATATGATACAGGTGCTCTCCTTTTGGGTTTCTAATATCACACATTTCTGATCAGAAAATCAAACTAACCAGTACTATTGCAATAAGAAGAAGAAGCCGAAGAATAGTTACAAGGGGTAGTACATTTACACAATGATACATCACAAAGGAAAGTCACACTATCCAATACAAATGCAATTGAGTATCAAATAATCAACAAGTATTACATCCCCATAATTACATCTTATAAGCTGCGCTTCATATCCCCTTGATTTCTCTGATCAAAAGCCCACTCTGTTTAATTTTCCCTTTAATCCAAGGTATCCAAAGTATATCTTCTTGTGAACAAAGATACAAAATATCAGTTTATTAATTTCAGCTTCCCAGCTTTTGCAGTTTTCGGTTAAATCTTCACACAAACCGGTTTTATTATGACATGAAGTGATCCAGTTTAACTTTGTTACTGAGGACTCACATTTATTATATTCAATAATAATAGATGTATGCAATCAGTGGCGGACCCAGGATTCAAGTTTAGTGGGGGCAAGAAGTCACAAATTCAATATTCAAGTTCAGGGGATAAGGGTTGAAATAAACATTAGTAGATCCAGGCTATTATTGAACCAAACCCCTCATGTTGATTCAGGAATCTGTACCCGAGTCCATATAATTATAAATAGAAGAAAAGCATATAGGGTTGATGGTGGGAATTGGAGTTAAAATTCTACAGCAAAGTCATTTGGCACATGAACTATTAACATATCAAAATTAACGCAAGGGCATCAAAGTAGAAACAAAACACCTCAGATGCAATTCAGCAATTACATATGTAAGGGAGTCTACTGATACAGGAAACATGAAAATTGACAAGGAATGATACATTCATTGTTGCACTTGCAGCATTGTCATACAATATGTTATTTTGATATCAAATGAGGGAATGCCAATGATGTAATGCAATATCTTAGGTGAAATCACATGAAATAAAAAATAGCAGGTGCACAAGGAAAGATTCCATTTTGACAAATAAATTCAAGATGGGGGAAAAACAAAAGAAATGCAAATCAAGATCAAGATCAAGATCAGGGAAAGGTTCTTCAACCAAACTATCATGGTAAAAGGAGAGCAAGACTACTTACATCTAAAGTTGGAGTGCCCCCATTTTTTACTATTGCAAGCTTCCTTTGAAATGAGTTTCCATGCATCTGCAACCAGATGAAGGATAAATATCACTTAAAAAGCCCTACTTATCATTCCAGGAGTTACATCATAAAGAGATCACTTACTCCAGATTTTGCAGAGTCCCATGTGAAGAAACGTGTGAAAAAAGACGGTTCACTCCCTTCCATAACAATATATATTGGAGCTTCAGAAGATAATTTTTCCAGAAGAAAATCACGTCCAAGAAATTTCTGTTGATAATAATAAGATATGGCAAATATGATCAAGACTTGCGGGTATCAGAAATCTCAAGAGATGGTTGCTACATACATACTAATTATGTAACTTGGGTTTTTTGTTTGTTTAAATCAGATCTATGAACATGTGAGACACCAGAACAAAAGGTGACCATGGAATGTGCCCAGCCCATGAAACCAGACCTTCACTTTGGTCTTGGTCCTCTTCAGGACTGACAAAGCATTGGCTCAGAACCATCGATGGGAAGCTGCAATTTATATTTGAATTAATAAACATGGATGCAGCAGTGAGATGGCAACGGGTCAGGGTTTTTCTGGTTTCACATGCAAATTCTTGATTTTAAACTCAACTATTTTGGTGATACAATTCCATATTTTACTATAATCCTGAAAGTTTTGACCATCTTACCCCTATCATTTACCCTACCCCATCAATGTTCTCCCAAACCTTTTTTATTAAAATCATGTTGGGTAATTTTGCCATCCAGTCCATGTTCTATGACCTATTGAGCATTCTCTAAGAATCCAAAAATATGAATGTGGTTGTAGATAAAGAAGTAGCTGTTTTTTGTCCTTTAAATGAAAGCATGAAATTTTCTTCAAGCCAATTCCGTTAAATCGTACCTCTCCAATAGCTAAAGCATGCACTTTAGTCTTAGAGTCAACTTGTTGCCCGACCCAGACAAAGATGTCTGAGTGACAATCCAGGACGAATATATCTTCAGTCATCAAATCGTCTTGGTTGAAGTTGTATATCTCAGTCACCTGCAGCAACAACTCAATTCAAATTCATGGAGCAGAGAATCAGCAGAACAACAGGTATTAGATGCGGCATGCAGGAGAGCAACAATATTTCTCACATCTTTCATTCCATATTTCATTTATAAAACAATGCAAGTTCAATACACAAGAATGAATTATTACTAATATAAAACCCATGCCATGACTGAGAAGTAAGAATTTGTTTAGAATGACACTTGATTGCTTTTATTACGGAAGACCAAAAACGGAAAAAGAAACAGGACTTGGAAATGATAGGCTTTTTATTTTTGATTTTTAAAAACGAAATTTCATAATGTCATGTTGCAAATACAACCTTGACCTAGCAAGGGAAAATTTTCGTACTGACAATTCCAAGAAGATAATAAAATAACAGACTCAAGGGAAATACAAACCTTCAAATCTCCTGACGACCAGCATGCATTTGAGCAGTAACAGTGCAATGGAAAGAACAGAAGGAATCAAATTAACACCAGTTACATTAGGCATAAGAAGGAGAATCAAATGAATGGAATAGAATATTATTAACAAAAGTCACTGTTTTCACCTTTTGTGAAAGTGCATGAGAATAGGTGAGGATCACTCTCAGCATCCCTTCCAATCTTCTGGCTGGAATATTCAGATTTCCCACCTAACAACTCCCAAAATTGTTCAGATTCTGTACCTTCTTTTTGTGGTTTGGACTGCAAATTCGGCTGCAAGGACAATGTATAACAAGTGAATAATGTGAGTAGGCCTGACCAGATCAAGATAAAATAATGTTACTTCGAAAAACATGTCAATGTCTAGAATACTGTATTAGGAAAAGAAAAAATACTACTTGAAGTAAAATCAATGTGTTCAGGTGAATGGATCAGACCATTTAAAGTGATTCATCGACTAGTGAAGAGATATCCAATAGAATTTAGAAATGCAAAATGATAATGCTGAATCAAGTCTCACTAAGGGAAGTAAGACATCCATAAAAGATATCAGACCTTTATGAGATCCAGTTGCCTCTCGACAAGTTCCTGGTCCTCTGGGGTTGTAAGGTTTCCAGACCATGTAAAGACAGTTGAGCCACTGTGTAGGATGTAGCAGTAAGAGGAGTTTAAAGATGACGCCACCTGATTCAAATAAAACACAAAATCAAACTTCATCATATATGCAAAAAAGTGGATGCCCAGAAGAAGAAAATTTGTAAAATCCTTGGTCAGTATTCAGAGCAGGGCCATGATTGAGCTGCAAAGAGCAGAACTAGAATTTGATGGACTTATAAATATTCACATGGAATTGATATCATGAAATAAGATGGTATAAGTTACCACTATCATGTGATTATTCAAAATTAAATTTTGGATGTGCGTAGTTTTTCGATGGGTTCTTTTAATATATATTGACAGAATTTTTTCCCCTAGTTCTTCGACTGATACAAAATTGGATAAATGGGCCACAAGTGCACCTTATTGTCAACAAACTCAGGACCAGGGAGAGGGAATTATGTTTTCATAACTTAATGCAAACTTGGTTTCTTGAGAGTGTTGTTGTCATTATGTGTGTGTGTGGTGCAACTGCACATTCCAGTTTCATACTTTCATCTAGAACAATGAAGAAGCCCAATGCACTTTTTATACAGACTACAAAATACAATCTTGACTTACAACAGGGTGTAGGCCCCCTATTTTTAATAATTACAAATGATCCCCACATACATACGATACGCGTATTTGACACTTGAAGAGTACGATGCAATCTTTGGGGAGGATATTCACAGGTTTGTAAGATGGAAATTAGATCCAAGGGTAACAGAAAAGTTTTGAATTCAAGTACCTAACATACTATACACACCCCAGTAATAGGATACAAGTATCTAAAACCCCCCAGGCCCACCAATAGAAGTTTAAAACGATTTGGACCATACAAAAGGAACAAGGTGTTCCAATATTCAAAATTTTCAAAAAACAATATAAAAAGCTGTAAAATTAAAACAAAGGACCTAAAGTGAGTCCACATGGTACACAAAGGCAAAAGATACAAGCAGCTGTTTTACAGAAGCTTGCCTATTTCCAGTTATATATAATACATATGAAAAATGAATGATAAAGAAGCCTCACATCAAACAACTCCAAAACCTAAGTTCCATTAACAATATAAAAAAAAAAAAAAAAAAAAAAACTCACTGCCCACTTGAAAAGATGTAACTCACTGCCTACTCTTTTAAAATCATAGATTCTGTATAACAAAGAAAGTTTTCTAATTAATTTGTCTCCTTCTCATGAAATCTTAAGGGAAACTATTACGAAATGTTTATGAGGTGTATCTAAAACTACAACACAATATAAAGAAACTTACAAGAAACTCTTGATCAAAGTTTTGGAAACTCTCTAGAAACTCGCTTCTCATAATACTTTTTTCTTGTTACGAATCTTATTTTTTAACAATATTATCTAATTTTTCTAACAAGTTTCTAAAATATTATGTAGAAATTGTATTTGAATTGATCAAGGAAGTTATTTTAAGGGAGACTTGTATGTAGATAATAATAAGTTGACTCCAATAGGTCCTATGATAATCAATGGCGTTTGTCATCAAATACTATTTGAAAACGTCACTAATTGTTAATTTTCAGCGACAATTTGAGAATTGTCACAAAAAAGTCACTAACTATAAGTTTTAGCGACAGTTTTAAAAAATCGTTACAAAAAGTCACTAATTTTCAACTTTCAGCGACAATTTAAAAAATTCGTCACATAAAAATGTCATTAATTGTAAGTTTTAGCAACAATTAATAATAATCGTGATAAAATAAAAAGTCATTAATTGTTAATTTTTAGTGACATGCAAAAAAGCGTCACAAAAAAAATATTTTTAGCGACGATTTTACTAAGACTAACTTTTAATAGGACTTAATCGAAATTAAGTCCAACTATTAGGACCTATTGGTGGTTTACCCTTATTTTTACGGTTCTCAATATACATTTTTAAAAGAATGTTCTATTAAATCATTTATCACCTAGTGATTTCCCATAATAATTTTGGACCCTACCTCACATTTCCGTTTCCCATGTCTTTCCCAGCTTCCATTTCACATATTGTGGCAACTATGGTTATTAATTTCTTATACTGTTTAAAAAATATTGCCCACTTTCTTCTTATCTTATTCTCCTACACTTCACTTTCTCCTGATCTTAATCTCCCCCACTTTGCTAACTTTTTTCATACATGTGCACACTTGCACATCGTGAACCATCCTTCTAGTGACCATATAACCAATCCCAATCACAGGTAACTGATTCTCTTAGCAACACTATAATATGGATGGAAAAAAAAAATCGAAGTGCTGCATGCTGAAGCTTCCTTGTGAGTCTTCTTGAAGAAGTAACCAAAATGGTTTTAAAAGAAATAGATAAACAAAGACAGAAAAAGACAGATCTGACAAATCTGAAAATAGAGAAACATGCCCCAAAATAAGTGTGGTAACACAACTGTTGACACTGATTGAACTGCATCTCTAGCTATGGTAAAAGATTCAGAAGACAAATAGGGGAAACTGTAGAGCAGGACTTACCGGCTCTACTTGAATTGCTTGCATATTTTCAGGTCCAGAACCTTGAACACGAAATAATGCGAGTCCCTCATCTGTATATGTTGCATCTGGAAGTTCAGTCTCTGCAACGTGTTTCTTGTATCCAACACTGAGACCACCCTAATGAGTTCATACAAATTGGTGATCAATGAGAAACGAAAACTAACATAAGAATTTTAAATCAAGAACATCAAATTTTGAGTGGAGATCCATTTTTAGTATCAAAATTACCCCATACTTTAAATATAATAAAGCTCTGAAAGATTGAAAAGAACAGGATCGGTTCATTCCCTTCATAAATGCGAGCCTGTAAATCCACAATAATCAAACTGTTAATACAAATATACTAACAGAAAATAAATCCACAATACTCTAGACTAGCAATCCAACCACTAGTAAAGGTACCTGAACAGGTAAAAACTTAAGTGACTCGACCATCTTGCTTGTCTGTGAAATAGCTGAAGCTTGATCTTCCTATATTGCATGATAAATGCATGGTAAATAATTAGATTCACAAATGTTCAAAAAAACTGCATCAAATTAGAGTGATGATACGTGTAACCACAAGCCCACAGACTAAATTCCAGATGAAATATTGCACTTTATATTTTTCACTATGCTTGTGCATGCATGTGTGTTTCGAAAATTGTTTTCTGCATATTCAAAAAATTGTTTTTGCTCAAATATAAAAACAATATGAATATGATAGGTGTTTTGCATTTTTCATTGCCTTTGTTTACAAAAAACAAAAAATGAAAATATACAAATTGAAAACATTACCAAATAGGTTCCCAACAATGCAAACATAGATGTCACAGTTATCAGAAAATATAACTTGATCTTCATTACCTTTTTTACACAGATCTCCCCTAAGGTTAATAACAATTACACAGATCTCCCTTGTGGTTTTTGACAAAGATGTCTGAGTGACAATCCAGGATGAATATATCTTAGGTGCATTCACAGAATATGAGTGTTTAAGGCTGTGGCTGTTTTGTGTCAGGGTTGTGGCCCTCTTCTTCTCTCCTCTTCCCTACTGTGTGCTACATCACCCAGCCCCAAGCGCAATTGGGATTAAGCCTAGTTGAGTTTAGTTGTATATCAATTCAAACATAATCAACTTGCTCTAGATCCTTGATCCTTAGGTAAGACAACCCTTAGTTGCACGAAGCGGGAGCGGAAGCAGGAACGTAGAATCGCAGACATTTCAAGAATCGTTAGTTAGGAGCGTTTGTATATATTTTAAATAATATATAAAAATATATTGTAAGATTACATTTTTTTATGGGACTATACATGTTATAAATAAATAAGAATTATAAAAAATTATATGTTAAAATATTCTAATTATATACTTTTATTAGAATTTTTTTAATTTATTCTAAAATATTTTTATTACTTATTTATTTATTTATTCTAAAATATTTTTGTTAAAAATTATTTGTTTTATGTTATTGTAGACGCGCCCGCGTGGGCCTCGTGCTACAGTTCGGACTCGATTTTTGTCGCGGTTCTTAATCTGAACCAAAGAGTCCAAATCTGGCAAATCGTTTTGAGAAACAGATTTTTGAAAAAGTAGTGCCAAACATGGACTGCTTTGCCAGATATATAAAGATAATATATAATATATAAATTAAAACAGATAATTTATAAAGGTTATATATAATATATAAATAAAAACATATATTTATAAAGACAAATATATATATATATATACATTATACGTATATGATATATATATATATATATCTTTAATCTGAGAAGAGAAGATGAGAGAGAGAGAGACGTCGCGCGAAGACTAGCGAAGAGGAGAGAGAAGTCGCGATGGCCTATGTGCGACTCGCGAAGACCAGCGAAGAGGAGAGAGAAGTCGTGATGGCCAGTGTGCGACTCGCGAAGACCAGCAAAGAGGGAGACGTCGCGAAGACCAGCGAAGAGGAGAGAGAAGTCGCGATGGCCTGTGTATGACTCGCGAAGGCCAGCGAGGAGGAAGGGAGAAGTCTGCGATGGCCTGTGTAGGTCTTGTGATGGCCAGCGATGGAGCTCCGACTGAGAAGAAGACAGATTTGTGATCAGATTCGCGTTTCTTTTGCATCAAAATCGCGATTCTTCAACGAATTTGATTCTGCGCTTCTGACGAAAAATCGTGAGCAGCATGAACGATTCTTGCTACTAAGAGACAACCCATCATGTAAGTGTTCGTCTTCTACATTCCAGGGGATTTTGATGAGATCGCAATGGTGGTTCCCCTACAAGATTGACATGAAGCTGTGAGAAAAAGAGGGAGAGTGGTAGTTGGCGATGTTAGAGAAGGATAGCAAGGTCGACAGCGAGGGAGAGACACTGGGAGTGTGATGACAGGAGAGGACGAAGAGGGTGACAGCTTCGATCCAGAATGACCCCCCTGATCTAGGTTCAGGCTCTGTTCAGTGTTTGGGTTGTGACCTAAGAAGCGCCAACCCTTCTGCAAAGGTGGCATGTTGTGTTAGCTCTCGGACACTTCTCAACACATGTCCAAACATGCCCTACTATAGTTTAAAATTTACTAGACTCAAACACGCTTCACGTACTAGAACATGTGTCTATTGCTTGGATACATATGAAACAAATTACAAGTTTAAACAAAATAACTTTGAAATTCAATTATAAAACAAAAATAATATAAATTTATAACTATATCCACTTTTAAGCCTTAGAAATTAGTATTACATTGCATTCTATTATTATCTTTGAATTAAACATTCATATACATGACAGAAAATAATTGTTTATCCTTATACATAACATATAATAAATATATAAAATTATATATTTTGTGCACATCCTTCAAGTGTCGCCTCCTACATTTTTTGAAAATTTCCTTGTCAGAGTGCTCATGTAGATTTGTGTCGCGTGTCCATGCTTCTTAGGTTGTGATGGAAGTGAAAAATAGAAGGAATCAAGGTATGCTCAGATACCAAATTTATGTAGAATACTGTACAAAAAGAGAGTGAACACTCAAAATTGGCCACAGCCTTTATCATATCCAAAAAAGTGACTAACACATTGTTCCACCACTTACTTATAAGCTCCTACCCTTAATTAAAATATGAAACTTCCAAATGCTCTATTTAAGTTGACTCTTACAAAACATTATGAAATAAGCAACTACCAACACAATTATTTGACCAAAAAGATTTATTCCCATGCATTGGAATAAATCTCTTTTTGCATTCAATGTTTTCTTGACATTGAATTTGTACTATTATCCCATAGAAAATGAAGCAATTAAAGCCACAGAATGACAGCATATAACATAGTGTCTATTAATAGAAATGCAGCAGGATGATTAATATCTAATACATAAGAGCCTTAAGTACGTGCTCAAATGCTCAAAAGATGAGATATGTAGAATTTTTTCATATTTGTTTTTGGTCTGTAGGCCTCAGTTTACGTCTCTGTATCATTAACGTAGACTGATCCAAGTTTCAAAGCTGTCTATTAATAGAAATGCAGCAGGATGATTAATATCTAATATGTTAAAATCCACCCACTACACCACTACCACCTCACCTACTCCACTAAACCTAACCCACTACACCACTATCACCTCCACTTCACCTACTCCACTAAACCTAACCCACTACACCACTAACTCAAAATTGGCCCTCCACTTCACCTACTCCAAAAAAGTGACTAACACATTGTTCCACCACTTACTTATAAGCTCCTACCCTTAATTAAAATATGAAACTTCCAAATGCTCTATTTAAGTTGACTCTTACAAAACATTATGAAATAAGCAACTACCAACACAATTATTTGACCAAAAAGATTTATTCCCATGCATTGGAATAAATCTCTTTTTGCATTCAATGTTTTCTTGACATTGAATTTGTACTATTATCCCATAGAAAATGAAGCAATTAAAGCCACAGAATGACAGCATATAACATAGTGTCTATTAATAGAAATGCAGCAGGATGATTAATACATAATACATAAGAGCCTTAAGTACGTGCTCAAATGCTCAAAAGATGAGATATGTAGAATTTTTTCATATTTGTTTTTGGTCTGTAGGCCTCAGTTTACGTCTCTGTATCATTAACGTAGACTGATCCAAGTTTCAAAGCTGTTAAAAGTAATTTTATATTTACTTCATGGAAACATGGGAGGTTAAAATTAAAATTTTAAAAAACTTAACAAAATTCTTTTCACCTCAACACTTTGCTTCCCAAACCACGTCCCTATAAGGTGTTCCTCTTTATCATCTCCAGGATAAGAATACTGAAAGATATAGCAATCTCCACTGTAAAATTTTGACTGATCAGAAGCTGGAAGGAGAGTCTTCTCTTGGCCATTCACGCGCCAAACCTGTGAGACCATGGGGAAGCTACTATAAGCATATCAAACAGATAAGTAAAGTTTCCAAAAGCACACTTGAGGTTCATTGAATTCAGATATTTTCCTAGATAGAGGGCCAAGAATATAGTTACTGCCAAATGATCCAGGAATCTTTAGTGAATTATTATCGAAACACCTACAATAAGTATTTAATATGCACCTCTTTTCTTTTTTTTTTTTGATAAATAAGTATTTAAGATACACCTAGGCAGTAAGTTTAGAATGATTTGAAAATCTTTGAAGTACAATGAATAGCCAAACCAGAGGCGGACCCAAAACTTTTTTTGTTGTGCGTGGCTGGGTGGCTGGAGCAGGAAGGAATTACAAATATATAATAGAAGCCTTATTTTGGAAGCGGCCATTCAAAGAAGAAATCTCAAACCCGGCTGAGCATGTATGTCCAAAAATTCTAAAATGCTTCGCAGATGCTTCTGGCGCATTTGCAGCAATTAAGTACTAAGAATCTTTAGTTACAGGGAAAAAAAAATACAATTTTCATTTTCCTCCTTTCGCTAATGGTTCAGTTTAGTTTTTAAATTAAATTATTCACTTCTAATTCCCATACATCAAGAGTACAGGAGAGTAAGAGTGAAAAATAAATAAATAAAAGAGTGAAATAAAGTGTGGGATAAGTAAAACAACTATTTCCCAGATTAGTTG